CATATGTATCACATCGTTTTCACTCAGTGCTCCCTTGTTGTTTGGATGTGAATATTTATTGAACCGACCGTGTGGATGAGAATTTTTTTCAACCCACAAAAAAAATCCAGGACTTTTATCGTGCTGACGTATCCTAAGTCTTAATAGGTTAGGTCTAATTATTTGTAATTCTTAAAAATGTTAAACTCCAGATATCTTGTGTATAAAGTAAGAGTGCGCTCCTCCATCTTGCTGTCAGACGGAGCCTCGGCCTTGTCGTGAACACGCCGCTCTTATCTCCTCCTCTGTGTGAACAGGTAGCGCTGATGAGTGGATTGGTCTCCCTGCCCCACGCTGACACGTTCCATCCATCACGAGGAGGATGCGGTAGAGCCCGAGGTTAGACTGGCACCGCGCCCGCCTCTCTCAAGGCCCCCCGCTGCTCCGGTCTGTGCCCCGGCCCGTGCCCACCTCGGCGCTCGAGAGGTGCAGTCCTGTACTACTGTGTACCCGCAGAGGAGGAAGTACGCCACCCACAATACCGCCGAGAGAGGGGGAGAAAGTCAGGAGTGAGAGAAAAAGAGACAGAGAGAAAGGGCGGGGAAAGAGATCTCTCCCTTGTCCTGCCCCTCCTTTCTCCCTGTTCTCTCCTGCCTCTCCTCTCTCCCCCTGATCTCTCCATCTCTCCCTCTCTCCTGCCTTGCCTCGCCTCCTTTTCTTTCCCCGATCTCTGCATATCTCTCTCTTTTCTACCTCTCTTCCCCTGATCTCTCCATTTCTCCTGCCTGTGTCCTCTTTCTCTCCCCCGATTACTCATCTCTCCCTCTCTCCTGCCCCTCGAGCTCTCCCTTTTCTCTCTCACCTCTCCTCCCTCTCTGCCCCTGATCTCACCATCTCTCCCTCTCTCATACCCGCCCCCTGAACTCTCTGTCTCTCCCTCTCCTCTACCAACTTCTCTTCCCCCTGATCTCTCCATCTCTCTCCTTCATCTCTCCCGCCTGTCTCTCACTCCTCTCCGACTGATTTCCACCTCTCCCTCTCTCCTGCCCCTCGAGCTCTCTCTTTTCTCTTTCCTTTCTCCTCCCTCTCTCCCCCTGATCTTCCCATCTATCTCCTGTCTCTCAATCTCTCCCTCTCTCCTTCCCCTGAACTCTCCATCCCTCCTGCCTTGCCTCGTCTCATTTTCTTCCGATCTCTCCCTCTCTCCTGCCCCCCATCTCTCCTTGTTCTCCCCTGCCTGTCCTCCCTCTCTCCCCCTGATCTCTCCATCTCTCCTGCTCCCTCAATCTCTCCATTTCTAACCCTCTCCTGCCCTCCCCCTGATCTCGCCCTTTGTCCTGCCTTGCCTCACCTCTCTTTCTTCTCCCAGTTTCTCCATCTCCCCTCCTTCTCTTCCCTGGATTGCTCCATCTCTCCTCTCTCCTGCCTCTCCTCTCTTTCTCTCTCCATTCACTCAATCTCTCCCTCTCTCCTGCTTTGCCTCCCCTCTGCTCTCTTTCTTCCCCTGATCTCTCCCTCTCGTCTCCCTTGCTTCCCCTGATCTATCCATCTCTCCCTCTCTCCTGCCTTGCCTCCCTCTCCTCTCTTTCTTCCCTTGATCTCTGCATCTCTCCCTCTCCTCTCCCTTCCTACTTGATCTCTCCATCTCTCCCTCCATCCTGCTCTCCCCCTGATCTCTCATCTCTTCCTTTCTTCTGCCATCCATTTGATCACTCCATCTCACCCTTTCTCCTGCCCTCCCCCTCTAATCTCTCCATCTCTATCTTTCTCCTGCCTTCCCCCAGATCTCTCCATCTCTCCCCCTGATCTCGCTAAATCTCCATCTCTCCCTTTCTCCTGCCCTCCCCCGATCCCCCTCCCTCTCTCCTGCTCTTCCCTGTGATCTCTCCTTCTCTCCTGTCCTCCCCCTGAGCTCTCCATCTCCCCCTTTCTCCTGCCCTCCACCTGATTTCTTCCTCTCTCCCCTCCCCCTGATCTCTCTATCTCTCCCTCTCCCCGATCTCTCCATCTCTCCCTTTCTCCTACCCTCCCCCCGATTTCCTACTCTCCCTCTGATCTCTCCATCTGTCCCCCTCCCCCGATCTCTCCATCCTCCCTGATCTCTCCCTCTCCTCTCCCCTCTCTTTCCCTGATCTCTTCCCCTCTCCCCCTCCTCCATGATCTCTCCACCTCTCCCCCCGATCTCTCCCTCTCTCCATCTCTCCGTCTCTCCCTCTCTCCTCGTCGTGTCTTGGCACATCGTGAGCTGATGCTGTCACACGGAGCTGGTACACTCAGACTTTTATGTGCAGTAACGACCCAGTCAAACTCTGCGCCGGTGTCACATCAAAATGTCTCCCCCTCCCGATGATAAAGGGCGAGGACCAATTACGACGTGACGCAATCAACTTTTCTCTGTGACTGAGTGAAGTTTGTCAGCGGCACAGGAACTCACATTTAATTATGAAGCAAATCAAATAGAAGAGGAAATACTGTTGATGGACAGCTGTATCTGTGCCCACATGTCAGTCACAGTTTGTCCTCGGAGCCTTTTAAAACAGACTGGTCAGGCCTATTCAATTTAAGGCCTAAAAATATAATAGTTTTAGTTTTTTTCTTGTTTCTTGGGTTAGTCTTTGTTCCTGGTTTAGTCCTGGTTTTGTTCTAGTTTAGTGGTTTAGACCTGGTTTAGTTCTGCTTTAGTTTTGGTTTAGTCCCCATTTAGTTTTGATTTAGTTCTGGTTTAATTCTGGGTTAATTCTGATTTAGTCGTAGTTTAGTCCTGGTTTATTCCTGGCTTAGTTTTGATTTAGTCCTGATTTAGTCCTGGTTTAATTCTGGCTTATGGTAATGGTAAATGGTCACATTTTTTTATAGCGCTTTTCCACCTTCAAAGCACTTTACAACAAGGAACTACTCACCCACTCACACACCAGTGTACGCAGACACTGTGGGCAAGGTGGGTTAAGTGTCTTGCCCAAGGGGGCAACAACAGCATTCATCTGTGGGAGCTGGAATCACACCAGCCAACCTGTGATGTTTATGTTGAGAGCTGGATTCAAACCGCCAACCTTTAGATCAGTGGACGAATGCTCTACCAACTGAGCTACTGCCGCCTTTGGTTTAGTTCTGGTTTAGTCCTGGTTTAGTTCTCATTTAGTTTTGGTTTAGTCTTGGTTTAGTTCTTGTTTTGTTTTGGTTTAGTTTTGGTTTTGTCCTGGTTTAATTCTGGGATTGCCCTGGTTTAGTTCAGATTTAGTTTTGGTTTAGTCCTGATTTAGTCCTTGTTTACTCCTGGTTTACTCCATGGTTTACTCCTGGTTTAGTCCTGGTTTAGTCCTGGTTTACTTCCATGATCATCCAGACACAGACTTGGTTGGTCCTGGTCTAGTCGTGGTTTAATACTGGTCCAAACACTGATAGTTTTGCACAGTAATTGTAGTAATGTTGATAATCTCTCTCTGGTATTTTATTTTTCACACAAATCAAACCGAGCAGAAACAGATCTAGATATTTTGTGTGACACCAAACAGTTTTATAAATGGTAATGTGTTGTGCATCTATCTGACCCAGAACTCTCCAAACAATCTGTCCCTCGGAAAAATAGTTGAATAGTTAGTGAGTTTTAAATAGAAATACAAGGTTAGGATTGTTAAGTCTATTTGTAAAGAAGTTAGTAAAGAATCTGATGTAATTATATCATATGAAAATACATTATGAAACTTTTTTTGAATTAACGGTGCAGTAAGTCACTTTTCTTCTTGTCTCTATGGCGATGTTATTGCTTTGCCTCAAATGTTCCACAGTATGACAGTAAAATATAGCTTATAGTGTGTATGCATCTCCATGGAAACAAGCAAGTGACGCCACCAGCCCAAGTTACAGGTCAAGTTTGTGGAGAGGCAGAGTCACAGTGAGAGTGCATGTTTTCCAATGTATTTTCTAATGCAAGATATAAATGTGTTTAATGCCATACTGTGGGACATCGCGCTTGAGCCAAGATGATGAATTTGCTATAGATCTTAAAATATTAATAATGACAACTACTGCATAACAGATAGAATGTGAATATTGGTATAGTACGGAAAAACTAGTATGGTGAAAGTGGAATGTGAATTTTAAAGAAAGGTTATATTAATTCCCATTCTAATTGCATGCAGTAATTATAATCTTGCCTTTAAAAAAAAATATAAAAATGAATTAATGTGGCTGCCAAGTTGTGCCTCATCTCTGGAGACGTCTCTGATTAAATGTGCTAATAATGCGAATAATAAATTAAAACATTTAAACGTGTTTCACCAAAAATCATCAAATTTCGGTGAGACCAAGTCGTCGCTTTGTGAATCTCAAGCAAGTCTCAAGTCTTTGACCTCAAGTCCGAGTCAAGTCTCAGGTCAAATACAGGCAAGTCCAAGTCGAGTCTCGAGTCACTGGACCATAAGTCCAAGTCAAGTCCAAGTCGTCTGCTATGAGCTTCAAGTCATTTCAAGTCTTTAAACCAAAGTACCAAATATAGCTTAGATTTTTGCAGTTTATTTGAATTTTAAAGTAAATGATTTATTTCAAGTCTTTAAGTCTTCAAAAAGCCCAAATTTAAAAAGTTAATAGTTTCAGAGATTTTTGCAGTTTATTTGAATTTTTAAAGTAAATGATTTATTTCTACACAGTATGAGTATTTATATAAGAAATGCAAATTTTAAATGTCTTGATAAGATCTTAGTGTGAATTATTAATATTCAGAATAGAAAGAATTCAGATTTAAAAGTGCTTAATTACAGTTGCCATGAAGGATCCTGCTCTATGTATTTCCCTCTGTTTTACTGTATATTAGTGTATATTAGTGTATATGAGTGTATATTAGTGTAGATTATTGTATATTAGTGTATATTAGTGCATATGAGTGTATATTAGTGTAGATTATTGTATATTAGTGTATATGAGTGCAGATTAGTGTAGATTAGTGTACATTAGTGCATGTGAGTGTACATTAGTGTATATTAGTGCATATTAGTGTAGATTAGTGCACTAAAAAAACGGTCCGAGAGGGGTTGCTCAAATTGCAAAAACAAATTTGACAACAATAACATCACTTTTTTACGTTTCTCTGTCAAGCATGTTTAAATCTTACAAACATCGCTTGATTGTGGCCGATGTGAGACCTGCATGTTTTAATCAGACTGAGGAAACATGACTTTATTATAATCTCTGGTGAGGCTCCTCCCTCTGGAATTCTCCTCCCCAAAACTTTTGGAGGGAAAATTCAAATGTAACAGGACACAGGACAGTTAGATGAGCAGAGACACACAGTGTGGAGCAGGAGGATTATGAGAGCTGATCTGGAGGTAAGACTTTTCAAAGATTTTATTATGTGCTTCTCCGGCCTAGAATGTCGTCATTGTTAAAACATGTTTGTGGTGTTTTATTTGAAATTAGAGTTAATGTAAGGACAGCTTGAAACAAATTGTTTTTGACTGTCCATCTACAAGAGTGTGACAGTTGTACTAAGATTTGAATGTGTTTGTTCCAGAGTCGTCTACAAAGAGTGACATCCAGAGCTCTGCTGGAGCTGTGGGGAAGTTCATGAATGTTATAGTTGATGTTTCAGAAAAAAGGAAGATGTTTGAGAACCAACAAAACACAGACCACAGATGAACAAAGTAAGTAAACCAACTAAAATTATTTTAAAATTTTTCAAAATGAACTTCCTATTGAAACTGTTATCGTACTTGTACAAGGTGATGTGGCATTAGGAGACTTTATACCAGATGCCCTCCCTGTTACTGTGTTTAGAGGAACAAAAGCAGCACATGGTGAGTTTTGTTTCTGCAGATACAGTTCTAATGTTCTTGTTCTTCTGTTCTGGTCCATTATTGTAGTAATAATTGCTATAAGTGTATTTAAACATGTACAACAGAGTAGATCATCAGAATGTGATCATCATGTGTTATTCCTGTGTTCACAGAGACCAGAACATCTTCACTGGAATAAATCTTCACACTGTCCAGCTCCAAACTGTGTATCTCTGTCCCTGTGCTCTCTTTGTGTTTGATTCTGTTTAAGACAATACAGTGGAAAACTAAAGACTGTTTTTGTATTCTTTTACAGAATTAGATCAATTAAATTAAATTATACATACTTATACATTTCATGATAAGGTACCATAAGATAAATATGCATATTCAGCATGATTTGTTCAAATTTCATCAACATGAAAAAGTGATGTTCATGTTCCGAGAAAAATATGTGTAGAGGGGATCGAAAAAAGTTTCAAAGCCTAAACATAATTTTATTGCATGCAACCGCTGTCCATAACTTTTTTACGCAAATCCAGCAACTTTTTTTTTCAGTGTGCATATGAGTGTAGATTAGTGTATATTAGAGTATATTAGTGTATAATAGTGTATATTACTGTAGTACATTTGAGGATACCATCTCATAGTACTTTAGTTACATCCTGCGACATGTTCCAGTTTGTTCCTATAAAATGAAGCACCGCATTGATCAACTGTAAAGAAAAAAGTAATTTCTAAAACAATATTTTTTTTAGTAGAAGCATCAAATCTTTTCAAGTCACAGGCCTCAAGTCTGAGTCAAGTCCCAAGTCAGTGACCTGCAAGTCCAAGTTGAGTCCCAAGTCTTAGTCCATTTTATCAAGTCAAGTCTCAAGTCCTAAAAATACTGACTTGAGCCTGACTCGAGTCCAAGTCATGACTCCCAGGCCCCACCTCTGTATAAAACAATAATATTTAAAGAGTCTGTATTATGTTGTTTTCTGATTTATGTTATAATGTTGTTTCCTCATCAAAAACACAACCAGAGTTTTGTTGTGTTTCATTCACACATGTTTAACACCCAAACCCTGTACATTTAGGCTCTGTTCCACCTTGTGATGTCATGATGTGGTCAACGAGGAAGCGCTCCACTGTGTTTTTAAACTCTATACACCTTCACTAGAATCATTTGGATTATTTCAACTCTGGAATTGTCAAGCTCAACTGAACGAAAGGTAAAAAAGGAAGCTGTTAACTATAGCTTCATGACATCATAAGGTGGAACTGAGCATTTTGAGATTTGGAGATGTAAACAGACTAATAATAAAGGATTACTCAAACATGTGTGAATGAAACAAAACACATCTCTGGTTGTGTTTTTGAGGAGGTGGGAGCTTTCTAACATGGCTGAAAGTCAGGAGACCGCTCACATGACGACCAAAAATCCACCTCGACGCGTCTCTCTTCCTTTTCACAGTTTGAGCGACTCTTGATCTTCTCACCACGTCTTCCTCTTGTACCTGTCCCTCTGAAACACACACGATCTCCATGGCAACCTCCCCCCAACATGCACAGGGGGGTCACGGATGATTAAAGCCAGGGCACGGTACATTCCTCTCTCCCGCCATCAATGCACCTCAAACAGAAAAAAAAAAAAAAGAAAAACTCACTCCATCCCTTTGGTTGTGGCGGGCTCCGGGAGAAGAGAGGAGGCAGGGGTGAAGGGAGAGATGGAGAGAGGGAGAGAGGGAGATTGAGAGGAAAAGGGGAGAAAGAGAGGGAGAGACGGAGGATGCATGGAGCAATTAAGAGGGAAATTTAGAGGAAGAGATGGAGAGAGGGAATGAGAGATGGAGAGAGGGAGTGAGCAAGATTGAGGGGGGGGGGAGAAAAAGAGAGAGATGGAAGGAGAGAGGAAGAAAGAGATAAAGAGAGGAAGAGAGCTGGACAGAGCGAGTGAGAGAGATTGTGAGGGGATTGAAAGAGAGAGAAAAGGGGAAATGGAGGAAGGAAGAGAAAGAGCTAGAGAGAGGAAGAGCAATGGATAGAGGGAGTGAGAGTAAGAGAGGGAGGGAGACGGAGGGAGGGAGGGAGATATTGAGCGAGAGAGGGGGAGAGAAAAAGAGAAAGAAAGTGAGAGAGAGGGAGAGAGAGAGGAGGGGTGAGAAAAAGAGAGGTGGAAGGAGAGATGAAGTGAGGGAGATTGAGAAAGAGAGGGAAGAAGAGATGGGGAGATAGATAGAGAGAGGGGGAGAAAAAGAGAGAGATGGAAGGAGAGAGGAAGTAAGAGAGATAGAGGGAGAGAGAGAAGGGGGAGAGATGGAGAGAGGGAGTGAGAGAGAGGGAGAGAGAGGGGGAGAGAAAGAGAGAGCGAAGAGGAAATTGTGAGAGGGAGTAAGAGAGGGAGGGGTGGGGAGAAAAGGAGAGAGAGGAAGTGAGAGAGATTGAGAGACAGGGAGGGGAGGAGAGAGGAAGTGAGAGAGACTGAGATAGAGAGAGGAAGAGAGCTGGATAGAGGGAGTGAGAGAGATTGAGAGGGGGGAGAGAAAGAGAGAGTGAAGGGAAAATGGAATGCGGTAGAGAGACAAAGAGCGATGGATAGAGGGAGTGAGAGGGAGATTTAGAGGGAGAGATTTACAGAAAGCGAGATGGTGAGAGAGGGAGGGAGAGGGTTATACGTTCCTCTCTTCCACCATCAATGCACCTCAAACAGAAAAAAAGAAAGAAAAAAAACTCTCTCTCTCCATGGTGGTGGTTGTGTGAGGCTCCAGGGAGGAGAGGAGCAGGGGTGAAGGGTCTCCTCTCCGAGCCCAGGAACAGACTCTGTGACGGGGCAGAGGACACACAGAGGCTTCCCCCGCGCTATGATGTGATTTCAAGAGGCTTTGTGGATTTTATTGTGCTGACATTTTGAACTCTGACCCGCGATGCCCACAGGGACGAGAGGAAAGAGAGAGCAGGAGAGAGGGAGAGAGAGGAAAGAGAGACGAGGAGAGGGAGAGAGAGGAAAGAGAGACGAGGAGAGGGAGAGAGAGGAAAGAGAGACGAGGAAGAGAGAGAGAGGAGAGAGAGAGAGGAGAGAGAGAGAGAGACGAGGAGAGGAGAGAGAGGAAAGAGAGACGAGAGAGAGAGGAGAGAGAGGAGAGAGGAGAGACGAGGAGAGGGAGAGAGAGGAAAGAGAGACGAGGAGAGGGAGAGAGAGGAAAGAGAGACGAGGAGAGGGAGAGAGAGGAAAGAGAGACGAGGAGAGGGAGAGAGAGGAAAGAGAGACGAGGAGAGGGAGAGAGAGGAGAGAAGAGAGACGAGGAGAGAGAGAGAGAGAGAGAGGAAAGAGAGACGAGGAGAGGGAGAGAGAGGAAAGAGAGACGAGGAGAGGGAGAGAGAGGAAAGAGAGACGAGGAGAGAGAGAGAGAGAGAGAGAGAGAGGAAAGAGAGACGAGGAGAGAGGAGAGAGAGGAAAGAGAGACGAGGAGAGGGAGAGAGAGGAAAGAGAGACGGAGAGAGGGAGAGAGAGGAAAGAGAGACGAGGAGAGGGAGAGAGAGGAAAGAGAGACGAGGAGAGGGAGAGACGAGGAGAGGGAGAGAGAGGAAAGAGAGACGAGGAGAGGGAGAGAGAGGAAAGGAGAGAGAGGAGAGGAGAGGAGAGAGAGAGAGAGAGAGGAGAGAGAGAGAGAGGAGAGAGAGAGGAAAGAGAGACGAGGAGAGGGAGAGAGAGGAAAGAGAGACGAGGAGAGGGAGAGAGAGGAAAGAGAGACGAGGAGAGAGAGAGAGAGGAAAGAGAGACGAGGAGAGGGAGAGAGAGGAAAGAGAGACGAGGGAAAGAGGGGGAACGAGAGAGAGAGAGAGGGGAAGAGGGAGAAGAGAGCGTGAGAGGAAGTGAGAGAGATGGAGAAAGAGATGGAATAAGAGATTGAGAGAGAGACGGAGGGAATGAGAAAGGAAGAGAGAGAGAGGGAAGGAGAGAGATTGAGAGAGAGACAGAATAAGAGCCTGAGAGAGAGAGGACAGGAAGGAGAGCGGGAAAGAGAGAGAGGGAAGGAGAGAGACTGAGAGAGAGATGGAATAAGAGAGACTGAGAGAGAAGAAAGGAAGGAGAGAGGGAAAGAGAGAGAGGGAAGGAGAGAGATTGAGAAAGAGAGGGAGGGAAGGAGAGAGGGAAGGAGAGAGATTGAGAGAGAGATGGAATAAGAGAACTTGAGAGAGGGAGAGAGAAAGAGATAGCGAGACAGGAAGAGGGATGGGTAGAGGGAGTGAGTGGGGGGGTAGAGGGAGTGATGGAGTGATGGAGAGAAGGGGAGGGGAAAGAGGGGGAGTGAGAGAGAGATAGAAAGGGAAGAAGAGAGGGAAGGAGCGAGGATGTGAGAGAGATTGGGAGACGTAAGGAGAGATGGGTAGAGGGAGTGAGAGAGCGATAGAGGGAAAGATGGAGAGAAGGGAAAGATGGGGAAGGAGAAAAAGAGATAGTGCGAGACAGAGAGGTAGAGAGGGAAGAAATGTGAAGAGAGGGAGTGAGAGGCAGAGAGAGACAGAGGAGGAAGGACAGATGGACAGAGGGAGTGAGAGAAACTGAGAGTGGGGAGAAAGAAAGAGAGAAACGACTGAAAGAGAGGGAGAGAGAGGAAGAGAAATAGATGAAGGGATTGAGAGGAAGCAATAGAAGGAGAGATGAGAGAGAGGGAGTGAGAGAGAAGGAAGGAAGGAGAGAGAATAGACTGAAAGAGAGGGAAAGATAGAAAAAGAGGATGAGAACTAGATAAAGGGATTGAGAGGAAGCGACAGAGGGAGAGATGGAGGGCGGTGAAGAGAGAGACTGGAGAGATGGAGAGAGTGAAAGAGAGAGAGAGAGAGATTTGTGTGTGTGTTACAGTGCGGGAACAACAGGGCACTGTACACGCCTGAAGACAGGATGGTGCTTGGTCCTTTTCAGAACATAAAAAACATGGAATTATTTAGGGAGTTCAAGTTTTAGTTACAAATGTTGTAAAACAAATTGACATGTAATTGATTTCTTAAGTAAAAAAGTCCCCATTACTTTA